CCCCGAAAGTGCTGACGGCAGCCGCAACAGTCAGCTAAGCGAGATCCCGGAACAGCAGGGGCCCGCCTGCCACGCCGTGCCACCCCACACCTCCCCTTCAAAACAATCAGACCGCCAGCAGTCCTTCCTCTGCGAGCGCCACGGACCCAGCAGGGGGGCCGCGGACCAACCGTCCAGACGCAGGACAGCGAAGCCATCCGCTGGCTCGTCGGGAGAAACCCCTTCGCGCCTATTCGCCCCCCTTCCCCTGCCGGTGGACCCAGTCTAGTGGGCGGCGAGCCCCGGCGCTCTCTCCTGACGTCCAGGACACGACTAACAAAGAATCTTGTGCTCTGGCAACGGAAACTGCGTCGCCGTACGTGCGCGCGCCTGGCGCAACCAGCGGCGCCTCCGAGACCGGCGAGTCCTGCGTTGACCGAAGGGGGCGCACCCGGGAGCGACGGCGGGCGCAGGCCCGAGGGCGAGCGCCAGCGAAAGGGGCCTCTCCCCACGCACCACACTGAGATGCATCTTGGGTTTGTTAAGGTTTATGAGGTTTAGCTATAACTTAGCGCATTCATGCAGTTTACCATACGTTTACCAACGACGGACTTAGAAAGGTTATAAACGTTTAGCCGTCGCGATATGCAAGCTATGAAACTACCATGTTCTGCTGCAAAACATACGCTGCGCCGCGCCACGTAGGATGCATCATAGGTTGCGCAAAATAGGATGTACCACATACGTTGCACCACAGGTTTCCCCACATAGGTTTCCCCACACAGGTTGCACCGCATAGGTTTCCCCGCGTGGGTTGCACCACATGGATGCGCCGCATAGTTTGCATCACGGCATGTAGCACAACATTGGTTGCACCACTTGATATGAGCTGAACTTCAGTTTTCGACGCCTTCGGCTCGGCGCCGCCGCCCACGCCGCCTTCGGCCTCGGTTTCGGCATGCCGCTTTGATCGTTTCAAACGCGAGGAGGGATGGGGGGGGGGAGGGGGGGCGAGGAAACAGCTGGCGGAGGAGCAGGAGGAGGGGCGGGGGGAAAGGAAGGAGCAGCAAGAGCAGGACAAGCACGAGGAAAAGCAGGAGGAGGAGGAGGAGGAGAAGCGGAGCAGCTGGAAGACCTATAGCCTCCTCATTTATCATCCTCCTCTTGTTCGTCGCCTTCAGCCGCAATGGCTTGAACGTGCGATGAATGGCTGTGCGGCGGTGCGCGCAGCGTATGCGAATGGTTTCTCCTCTGGGCGCGACGTGCCAGTAAATCCTATCATGAAAACTCTAATGGCAGGATGGTGCCGACGGTGCCGTCGGCGTATACGCAGTGCTCTACTGCAGCCAAGATGGCTTGAGTCTCCCAACATTGCATTGGAGACTCTGACAGTTTCCACACCGCCTTTGCAGTACCACGGATGCGTTGAGCAAACTCCATCACCTCCATCATAGAAACAGCTTCCCCACTGACCTCGAAATGCAATTTCACGCGGGCGGCCAGTATGCCATCGGGGCCATTTAGAAGCACAACGTCACCTTGAGTGCATAAGCCGAGCTGGCTGAAGCGAGAATCTTTGCCCACGTTGACTGGGATATCATCGCCTTCCAATCCCAATGCGTCCATGATCAGCTGTCTGCTTTTCTTGGGGGCCTTGCGTCCCTGCACCAAGCCAACGTCGTAATCAAAACTATGGCTTGCTATTGCAGAGTGGTGGTGGGCAACGCACTCGCTCAGCAACGACTTGCTGGCTGATCCAGAGATGTTCGCCAATTCGGTGGCGTATCGCTTCGGCATTCTATGCTTCCTCTCAATGACACCACAATTTAAGAGCCGCCCGTTTTTCTCAAGTATCTCAGGGAGGTGGAGAAGCCAGTGGCATCTGGGCGCCAAGCACTCATACCCGAAAGCAGCAGTAAACGACTCTAAAAACTTATGAACACAACCTAAAAGCCTCGCTGGGCTCACGTCGATCCGACTGGTTGCAACTACCAGCCCCGACAACTGAACGCAAGAAACCATAGCGTCGCAAGCCGCACTGGCTGCCCCCATGGGTCGCAGGACCGTCTGACAGAACAGCATCAGCACGCCAAGGATAGACAATGCATCAGATGCCTGGCATTTTACGTGTTGCGCCTTTCGATGTTTGTCTTTCCGATCAGCATTAAAAATGCTATCTAAATGCGTAGCATGAAATCGCCCAGGGAACACCCAATGCGCCAAGAACTCCGAGAATGACTCCCACACGCCGTTGAGCCCAGCAGATATGACGGCTTCGAACGTAAGGTAAATCACCAGATTCACGACACCGTCGACGAAGAGCGCGTGCATCTAGTCATGCATAAACACCTCTGTCGGGTTGACCAGCCTGTCCAAGGCTCTATCGAGCAGCAAGCCCCGCTTAGCAAACGTCAAACCCAACGCTTGCTGCAATATCACAACTCATCATTTGACAACGTCCGCGACATGCGTTCCAGATACCTGGCATTCGTGCGAAGCTCATGGTCCGTGGACGCCACAAGCCCATCGAGATGTATTTGGTTACAGCGCAACATGGCTGAACCGTCCTCTTCAACAACCTTTGAATCAGGTGTGAATATATTCTTGCAGAGCATACAAAACTTGGACGCGCTGTCGCCCCTTGCTTGCCAGACATTTTTATGAGCGCCGTCGTCTTGCAACACCGCGCCCACTTTCGCAAACAGCCTGAAGCTATCCCCGCCCAGATCAAGGGCCATGCCACCGTCTTGGAAATGAAAGCCATCAGGCTTGAAAAAGCATTTGATAGCCTCAGCGAATGCTTGGCTTAACCCAGCAGAGAGAGAAGAAACTGATTTGGAGAACTCAGTCATCAGCACAAACCAGCTCTCTTCGTGACTGAGCGCGCTCACGCCAAATCCCAAGAAGCTCCAATATAGATTGGGAGTTTCTTTCGTTCGCTGGTGACAAGGGGTTCCCTGGGGTAGCTTCATCGGAATACAAAACCAAGTTCCATGGCTGTTCTGGCGTCGGCGGGTGAAGCATCAGCTGGCGCCTCAAGAACTTCCGAAAGGTTGCGCTCTCTTCGACAGCTGCCGCTAAGGATGCGAACGGGCAGGCGATTGGTATGCTAGCTGGCTCTTCCTCTGCATTAATACACGTGAAGGATTGCAAAATAGGGCCGTATTGGCCGACAGCTGTGGTAACAGCATCTCTCGCGGCCCGCATAGAGTTTCGATCTATGACCTCTGGGACCCCATTGTGTCTCACGTCCTCCAGAATTGCAGCCAACGCAGAAGCTGTGCAGTGAGGCTTGGTACGACGGAACTCATTCAGCCTGCGCAGCTTAGCAGCCCGCGTCGGCTCCATCCGAAACGGCCCCAGACGCTGAACGGCCCGACTGCATGCTGAGCGAAACGGGCTACGGACGGAACGCAAGCACTTGCTTCACAACAAGGGCGCCCAATTGACAACGCGACGAGCAGACGTGCTTTTCTCGAGATTGGCCTCGCGACTCATAACGCGCTCGCGAGAACCAAGTGCGTTAACTAACGCAGCACAGAGTGCTTGTATGTTCGGCGAACAGCCTGGTTATATGGTAGGGGCACCATGTGCGTCTCATGGCTTAGCCTGAGCGTCGTCGATCGCCTTCACTGCTGCAGCCCACGCCTCAGAGGTCGGCTTAGGCCCCCCCCCCCCAAGCTTTGGAGCTCTCGGAGTAGTTGTCCGACCAGCCCATGCGAGGCTTTAGGCGCATGGAGTGAGATATTCCGCCCCGCCCGCCCATGGCCATCAGTACCAAGAGACTGCCCGATCCCGAGACGACCGAAGTGAAGGTGCGGAACACGCAAGCAGCGGTGAAGGGCAGGAGGGGAGGGCGGACTGATTGGACTGATTGGACACAGCAGCCTCCGAGGGGGGGCTGATTGGATTGATTGGGCCGATTGGGCCTGCGATTGGGCACGGGGGGAGGGGGGGGGCTGATTGGACGCAGCGGCGCCCGAGGACTTCTATCGCGCGGAGGGGGGGCTGGTGTTTTAGAGGAGGGCGTGGGAGGGGGGAGGCGGGGGGGGGTGGCTGTTGAGTGGGTGGCCCAAGAGGTTTACGTCGCGGCCATCGGGCCACGTGATCTCAAAACAAACATGCCAAAACCACCCCGAAAGCTCACGCGGGCAAGCTAAAACATACAGCCCCACCCCCTTCCCAGCATGACCAACAACGGCGTCGCGACATGGCTGGGCGGAGGTAACGTGAGTCGACGTACCCAAGACACCGACCGCACCGCCGTAGCTGAATCAAGCTTTTCATGATGGGGAATTGGCATCGGGGCGCCACTCGCAATCAATCCAGACGCAGCGGTGCGTTGGCTGGCGGTGATTCGCTAAGCGTCATGCATCGCCACGCTTCCTGAGGGCACGGAAGCGCCTGGCCTTGAGGCTCGTGTAGATGATCCCCTGCTTGTAGGCCACTGGCGGGGGGTTCGAACCATCCTTTGGCAACGACGGCATAGCGCCCATGATTTTAGACTTCGGGATCGGCTTCAAGTCGGCATCCTTGGGCTTACCCTTGCCCTCTGCAGCCTCGGCAAGCTCGACCTTCGCAGCCTTCGTCGGCTCGACGGCAGCAGCGGCTGCTGCTGGGCGCTTCCGTGGTGGGGCCTCGGCCTTGGCCTCAGGTGCAGCGTCTTACCCTGCGGCTTTAGCGGCATCCTTCTTAGCTAAGGCTTTCGCCTTCGCTTCGTCCTTCGCCTTGACCTTGCGCTTCTTGAGGGCGAGGATCGCAGCGCGGGTGTGGGGGTCCAAATCCTCTTCACGCGGCCCGTCGTCATCATCGGCGGCGCCGTGCTTCGCATCATCATCGGAGTCGTGCTCACCCTTTACAGCGTCTTGCTCCTCACGCTTCGCTTCTGGCTCATGCTTGGCAGATGGCTCATGCTTGGCGGCTGGTTGCACCTTCAGCGTCCCATCAGCAGCGCGGTGGATAGCCAAGCTGCTTCGCTGTTCGGATTTCACGTCGGGAGCCGAAGGGCTCTGCACAGCCGCCTGGCTTTTCCCTTTGCGGTACTCGAGCAATGTCTGCTGGTATTCGTAAAACAATCCCATCTCGATCGGGTCGTTCGGTGATGCAACGAGCGCACCTGCTGGCGATGCGTCGCGTGCGTCGGCTGCGGGCGCTGCGGCGCCACGGCCGCGAGCGCAGCCAAGCTCCTCCTTTTCTTCTTGAAACTTTAGCTTAGCATCTGAATCAACAGATGCTTTCAGCAAGCCTCTGTTGGAGCGTAGCGAGATCTTGTCCGCGATTGCGTTTATGCCTTTAAGCTCGATCTTGGTCGGCTGGTCATCCCCAGGGTAGGCGGCATTGACGATGTCGGGTGGAAGCTCGGATGGCGAAGCTGGATATTCCATGATGCGGTCAAAGCCGAAGTCCTTTTTCTCTGTCTTGAACGACACCTTCAAATCCCCTAAGATGCTGTGCACCTTCCTCGGCTCGGGTGGGGCGTCGTAATGCGTCACAAGCAACGTTGCTAATCCCCACTTGTACGTCTGCTCACTAGGCTCAGTGCAACCAACCGCCACGCCGCGTTCGACCAAGGTCGTCATCTTGCGATTCAGCGAAATCTTGGGGTCATTGATTACAACCCAGTCAGACGACGTCAAGTACGACCACCACTCTTTAAGCAATTGCTTGTTCGCGGAGCCTTCTGGCTTGGCGGGGCCACTGCCCTTGGCGACCTTGCTGTCGACGATTGACATCATCCTCTTGGTCTGATCTTCGCCGCATGGCTCACCCCTCAAGGCGTCGATAATCTGCGTGGCTTCGGCTGGCCCGAAGCATTTCATGTTGTTCAGCATGCCGATCAGAGTGTCGGCAAAGCTCTTCTGGAGCGTAGGGTCGGAGCTGCTGTTGATGTCGCTACGAGCCGTGGAAAAAGGCTTTCACGCTAGATATCTCCTTCACGAGCGAGCTGCAGCTGCAGCTTGCCATTCGGCAGGCGCGTGCGTAAGCCAACAGGCTCGTGCGTCAGCCGTCAGGCTTGTGAGGGGGGCAGCCGTCAAGCTCGCGAGCCAAACGGCCATGGAAAAAGCGATGGGCTGGAGTACACCATGTGCAATCGCACAATCATGCTCGAAGTCTGCAGAGTCCTGTTTTGACGCGTACGACATGCAGCATGTGCGACGCGATATGGAGGGGGTGAGGTGGGGGGCCACCCCATGAGATGAGCGAGAGAGGCCACGGAGCCAGGAGAAGAAGGTGGGAAAGGGGGTGAGGAGAACGACGATATATACGAAATGAAACGGCACCGTGCACGGCTCCCCCCCCCATCCCTCCCCCCTCCTTCCTCCCCCTCCGTCCCATCCTCCGCCTCATCCTCGTCCTCCAGCGCCTGGAAAGTGCAATATTATGCCTTGCCCTCATCCCCCGCAGCATCGTAGTCCTCCTCCTTATCTTCATCATCGCCCTCCTCCTCCTGGCTAGTGATTGCGCAGGGTGCGTCATGTGATTTCTGAGCCCCTCAGAAATCACATGCGCCAATGGTATCCCATCCTTCTCCTCTTCTTACCTCCCTCCCCACCCCCTCCTCCTCGCATCCCTCCCTCCTCCTCCCCCGCATCCTCCCCATCCTCCTTCTCCTCCTCCTACTTCTCCTCCTCCCCCCTCCCCCCCGTCCCCATCCTCCTCCTCCTCCACCCCCCCGTCCACCGACTGCGTCGCCCGTCGCCCGTCATCAGCGGGCGCGGAGACCATTCGCGAATTCGCGGCCCGTGGTCGTGAATTCGTGAATGGTTACCGCGTCCGCGGTTTGCCGCGTCCGTGGCTTCTCTCCCAGGAACGGGCGGGGGGGGCTTTGGGGGGGGGGGGCGGGGGGGGAGGGGGGGGAGGAGGTGGCGGCGGTAGGGCGGGGGCGCTGACGCTGATTTTTTTTGGACATCGGATGGGGGTGGGGCGATCTTCGGGTCGTTCGTGGGCCTTGCTGGGCCCCGCTTCGGACCCTCGGGGGCTCCGAGATGGCCCCGATTGTTTTTTTGCCCCCCCCCCCCAACATAATAATATAATAATTAATTTCATACATTGCTATTCGTCGCCTCTTAATGGGCACCGCGCGCCCCCCCCCCCCCCCCCCACCCCCCCCCCCCCCCCCCCCCCCCCCCCCCCCCCCCCCACCTCCCCCCCCCCCACCCCCCCCCCCCCCCCCCCCCCCCCCCAATTTCCTCGTCGTCGTCTCATCCTTCTCCTGCTTTCTCGCGATCCTTTGCAGATCTCCCTGTCCTGCGTCATCCTCCGTATTCATCGTCCTTATTCCTTCCTCCCCCTCGCCCGCCCAACTCTCATTTGTTATTATCCGCCCTCTCCCCCCTCCTCCTCTCCTGCCCTGCCGCCCCCCCCCCCCCCCCCTCCTCCTTCCCCATCCTCCTCCTCCTCATCCTCATGCTCTCCTCCTTCCTCATATTCCCCCTTCTTTCCTCCTCCCCCCCCCCCCCCCACTCCCCCCCCCCCCCCCCCCCATTGCTCGTCGTCCATTCTTATCCTCTTCCTTCCTTCCCCTCTGTCTCCTTTCTTCCTCTTATGCTTCCCCCCCCCCCCCACCCCCCCCCCCCCCCCCCCCCCCCCCCCCCACCCCCCCCCACCCCCCCCCCCCCCCCCCCCCCCCCCCCTCCTGACGGGTGTCCTGCGTCGGGTTGTCATGGCGCCCACCTCGACGCGAGGTTGCCTGGTGATCACCAGGGCTGTACCAGTTGTAGTAATAGTAGTAGTTGTATCCGTAGTCGTAGTAGTAGTAGTCGTAGTCGTAGCCGTAGCCGTAGTGGTAGTAGTATAGTAGTAGTAGTAGTAGTAGTAGTAGTAGTAGTAGTAGTAGTAGTAGTAGTAGTAGTAGTAGTAGTAGTAGTAGTAGTAGTAGTCGTAGTCGTAGTCGTAGTCGTAGTCGTAGTCGTAGTCGTAGTCGTTAGTAGTAGTAGTAGTAGTAGTAGTAGTAGTAGTCGTAGTCGTAGTCGTAGTTGTAGTAGTGGTAGTAGTCGTAGTGCTTGTAGTAGTAGAAGCAACAGTGGTAGCAGTAGTAGTAGTAGTAATCGGCAGTAGCAGTCGCAGAAGCAGTAGTGCTGGTCGTAGAAGGAGGATGGGGAGGAGGAGAAGGAGGAGGAGGAGGAGGAGGAGGACGAGGGCTTGTAGTCACCTGCGACGCAGCCCGCGTCGTACACGCCGACGGCGCGCGGGCGGGCGTCGATCTCCGCGCCGACGCCTGATCTGATGTCGGCGTCGGCGCACAAATCATTGTTGCTCTTGATCGTGCCGACGCCGAGCCACGCAACAATTGAAACCAAACAAAACTCAACAACACAATTTTCACATTGAATGTCCCATGGATCCGAGTTTACCAACCGCACATCTCCCTGTGGCTCGGCGCTTAAAGGCAAAGCGCGGACTTAACCGCGAACATGTTCAAAGATGGGCGCACGCAGAGACCGTCTGAGCGGGGGGGGGGGGTGATCGGGTGGGGGCCCAATTGGACCGACCGAGTGGCAAACCAATCAGCATCCTCACTCTCCTCATCCTCATTATCCTCATCATCCTCATCCATTCCATCCTCCTCATCATCCCTCCTCACCCCCCCACCTGGGTTGATGTCTCCTGGGGGGCCGATGGGCGTATAAACGGAAGTTGGACCAGGGCCCGAACGCCACCCCATCGGGCGAACATCCACCGCTAGATGATCGGTCTCTGAAGGCACGCCAGATGCCCCGACATGCGCCCAGAGTCGGCGCCACGGCGCGCGGGGACATGTGCGTCCGAAAACGTTCGACTATCAAGTCTTAGGAGTCAAACGCAGCGATCTTGCGTTTGACTACCAAGTTTCGGTAGTCAAACGGATGCGATCATGCGTTTGACTACCAAGACTTGGTAGTCAAACGGCGGTGGTCCTACGTTTGACTGCCAAGTTTCGGGGGTCAAACGCGATATCGCCTCCATTTTACTACCAAGTCTCGGTAGTCAAACGCTGAACCGCATGAAGGCCTACAGGCGGCCTACTCGAGGCCGAGGAGCTGGCGCAGCGTCGCGCTGCTGGCCTTGTACTCCTCGACCCTGGCCTCGAAGCCGCGCCAGTTGCGCGCCTCGTAGTCCAGGATGAGGCTCGCGCAACGCGGCATCCAGCCACCGTGGCCACCCTTGCCACGCGGCGCCCAGCCCGCGTCGGAGCCAGTGCCGCCCTTGTCGGAGCCAGTGCCGCCCTTGTCGGAGCCGCCCTTGCCCTTGTCGGAGCCGCCGCCCTTGCCCTTGTCGGAGCCACCGCCGCCCTTGACCTTGTCGGAGCCGCCGCCGCCCTTGCCCTTGTCGGAGCCAGCGCCCTTGCCCATGTCGGAGCCAGCGCCCTTGCCCTTGTCGGAGCCAGCGCCCTTGTCGGAGCAGCCGCCGCCCGTGTCGGAGCCGCCGCCGCCCTTGTCGGAGCCAGCGCCCTTGTTGAGCAGCTGCTCGAACGCGTGATGGCCCGACATCACCGACGCCCCGTCCGATTCTGACGTCGCCCACCACGGGTAGTGCTGGGGCTGCAGGGGCGCGTCCTCGAAGTCGCCGTCCGCCGCGGCCCAGAACAGGATCTTCCCGTCGGTGGCAGCCATCTTCCGACCCTGCACGGTAGGCCACAGCGTGTCCGCAGCGTACCACCCGTCCTCGGCACGGAAGATATAGAAGGTGGTGGACCCCCCGTCGACGACGACCTTGTCGATCGACTTCCATATCCACCCTCCCGAGAGCTCAACGCCTGTATTGAAATACATGCCAGCCGACATCTCGACCATGCGCAGCGTGCTCTCCTCGCAATTCTGAAGGAACGTGCTGCACTTATCATAGTCGTCCACAACGACGGCCAACGTGGTGTGCCGAAAGGCGTTGTACTCCAGCACTCCAACCTGCTCGGCGATCTCGGCGAGGAATGCCGTGTCGCCGTCGAGGTGTGAGGAAAACAAGACATATCGGTTCTCTCGGCCCTCCTCCACGCCTCATCGTCCTCTAGAAAAACCGAGGAAGGAGACGGGGAGAGAAGGACCAAGATAACCGGATCTGTATATACTGGGTTCCTCATCCCAGCTGGCCTCGCCCGCTGGCGTCAGCCTCAGCCTCGTCGGCGGCGGCGGCGACGGCTGCGTCGGGCCGCGCCTGAGGTCGCGCTCGGCGACGAGGTCCCTGCCGCGGGGCATGTCCATGGCCGCTGCAGCTGTGCAGCGATGTGCCTGCTGCAGCTGTGCAGCGATGCAGCGATGTGGCTGCTGCAGCGATGCAGCGATGTGGCTGCTGCAGCTGTGCAGCGATGCCAGGAGGCTGCTGCAGCCACGCAGCGATGCGGCTGCTGCAGGGGAGGCCCGCGCGGGCCCGCGCAGGAAGCAGCGCGGCGCGCGCCCTCGCGGCGCCTCCAGCCAAAACGGCTGATGCGGAGGAGGTGCATGGAAGATGTGCGGATGAGGTCTGTAAGTCGTTTCTGGATGGGCGAACCTTCTGGACACGCAACGCCGAAGACAGATCCTTTCATATGAGGATCTGTCTTCGGCGTTGCGTATCTGACCTCTGAGGCCCCCGTGTGACATGCCAACCCCCAGCTAGGTCACGAGAAACTCTGGGGCCACATCGGGGGCTCTAACGGAGGTCGGGGCCCGTGACATTCCCAGCTTGATGCGTGACGATTTTATAAGAATGGGGCGAAGTGGAGGGCCAACCTACGAGATGAGTGAGGCGGGCCGCGGGGCAATGGCAAGGACGAGCGAGGGGGCAGAGAGTGCGACTACACATGCGACACACGCCAATGACCAATGATACCACGACCCGCTGCTACCCTACATCCCTTCCCAGCTCGAACTGCATGCGCTGTTGTTGTTGTTGATTCTACGCG